CCCCAAAACCCCAAAACCCCATTTGAATAGAATATTGTTTGTTAGGAAAAAAAATTGTGCTAAAATTCAAATTTAAATAGAAATCCTAATAAATGGATAAAGAGTAAGGTAAAAATACACTGTATGAGATTTAGGCACTGTTAAATGCTTAAGATCTAAAAAGAGCTCACAGAAGCTTTGTGGAATTATGCCCAGATGTGCTAAATAAATAACAATAGGAGTTAAATAGAAGAAGGCTTAGGTTGAGTAGACATAATGCAAGCAAAGTCCCAATGAGTTTAGATATCAATAATACTGTAAATAATCAGTCTTTTAAGCACACAGAGGGGATTAGAGATATATCCCCAAATACAAACGTTCTTTAAGAATAGCAAATAGAAAAATCTCAAACTATGTTTCATAGAGTCAATAAATACAAAAATGCAAAGGTAATAGTGTCTCAAGCTTTTCATTTGAGAGATAAATCTTAGAGCAGGTACAATAAGAATTAAAGCAATCTAAAGAGGAACAATAACTAGTTTTAAACAGCTCCTAATGCAAGCAGTCTTACAGAACTTCCACAGGATCTTCAATAAATGGAAAATTTGAATGAACTCTCTCTCACTGAGATCGTTAATTAAGGAAAATAATCTGCTCTATAAAAGAGACCTCTTGGATTGAATTCAGCTTAAAATTCTTAAAATAATAGTTTCGTCGCTTTTCAACCCTAAAGGAACATTATCACTCCTATGGATAGATAATAAAGAAAATCATGCGTTCCACCACTAAATGGTAGAAATCAAACAATTGAAAGCATGAATAGTATTAGTAGACCACCCAGAGATAAGTCTAGATTAAATGAAGGATAATCTGTTGAAAGAAAGCAGCAAATTATTCGCATTAGAAGCAGATAAGGATCGGCTATAAGCACACATAATAATAGTACTATATTTGCGATAGATTCTACTAGCAACACCAACAGCACAAGAGACTATGGAAACTAGCCAGGCCCTCTTTAATTATTGAGAAGGCAATCAACTTAAATAGGGAAAGATAATTAATCAGTTGGTAGTGAAAGAGATGACTCGAGAATACTAGTTAGTAGGAGGACTTGCAACTCTTAACTTTAGAATTTAATTGAATTCAAGTCAAATATCTCAAACTAATAATGGGTTAATCTTTATGAGGCAAGAAGTGAGGATTTAGGCTTAAAGTAAAATCACTTATAACTTGAAAGATTTATAAAGCTAATGGAGGGTTAAAAAGAAAATAGATTGGAGCTTCGAGATATGGGCTTTGAAATTAAGAGTGCTAAGGTTTTAGCCCAAATACTGAAGAGTAGCTCCAAATCAAAAAACATCACTCAGGTTGATCTTTCAATGAATAAATTTGGTGGTGAAAGCCTTAAGATATTACTTGATGGCTTGAAATTTAACAGAAGAATTGTATCTTTAAAGCTTTAAAACAACTAAATAACTGCAGATGACTAAAAGACTTTATATTCCTTTATAAAAGATCATCCATCATTAGTAAATATTGACTTAGGGAATTCAGATATAAATAAATAGAGAAATAAATTAGGAAATTAAGGTTTCTAGTCTATAGTCAATGCTATTGTGGATTCACAAAACTCATTAATGTCAATGTTAAATATACAGCTTAACTAGATTACTGATAATCAAATTCTTGTTGATCTACTTACTTATAAACAATCACAAATTGTATCACTTAATTTATCTGATAATGACCTAGGAGTTGAATTCTTTGAGAAATTGGGACCATACATTAATAAACTTACGGAGTTAAATTTATCTAATACAAAGTTGAATAATAGATCTTGCATTGACCTATCATTAGCTTTAAAAGAAAATAAGTTTTTTATCAGCTATTTAAATCTAAGTCGTAACTAAATAACCAGTGAAGGAGTTCATAAGGTGCTTAATAGTCTTAAAAATAATTAATATCTTACTAGACTTGACCTGTCTTATAATGACTTGCATAATTATAGCTCATTGACAATCTTTGAAAACTTCTTCTCGTAAAATCGACATTTAGAGTGTTTAAGTTTAAATAACTGCAAGTTAGATTTAAAAGGCATTACTATTATTTCAAAAGCTTTAAGAAGAAATGTTGGGCTGAAGACACTTAATTTATCATCTAACTAATTTAATGATGAAGGACTATATCAGTTGACTTAATCTCTACTTGATAATACTTAAAACACAATAGCAGAGATTGATCTATCTAGAAATAGTCTTGAATTAAGATTACTTGAAGGAAATAAATAACTCACTTAGAGTTTCATTGAATATCTGAGAGTCAATAAGTCATTAAAAATATTAAATATCAAGGATAACCTTGTCAGGGATAAAGAAGCTCAAATAATACTTAATAATATTACCTTGAACTAGAGTAATTAAATGATAGTGCTGTTTGATATGAATCCTTGTAGTCACAACATTATGAAGGAATTTTAAAGATACAACAAAGATATGTAAAATATCACTAAGGAATAAGAAATACCCTAAATCAAAGATGAAATAGAGAATCTTAGAAAACAGCATGAATAGGCTTTGGTAGAGTGTTAAGAAAATGAGCAAAGTTTTATAGATAAATCTTTCGAGACCGTTTCGAGTAACCGTATTCCGAAATCTAAAAGATCTCAAAATATCATTGAGACTACAGAATTAATCACTCATCAGATAAAATAATTCTAGCGAGCGAAGACTATCACATAAGAGTAGTTTTAGAATGAGGACTAGGATCTTGAGCATTTAAAACTATAGGAGAATAAAAAATTCAAACAACTCAAAAAGGAAAGAGAAATTCTCAGACAAAAGAGAATAGATTTGGATTTTGAGGATGAAAGATTAGATTTAAGAGTTCTTACCAAAGAGAAGGATTTAAAAAAGTAGTATGAAGATCTCTTGCACAAGATTGACGTTGTCAAGCTTGCTCAGTAAAAATGTGAAAAAGAATCAAAGATTTATAAGAAAGATCTGGAAAAGAAAAAAGAGTCTCATTAGCTACAAAAAGACGCCTGGAGACATGAATTGGAACAAATAGAAAAAGAGTAGAGCATCACAGTCCTAATATATGAGAACTATGTCAAAGAGATTCAAAGAGTTAAAGCAAAACAATAACTAGAAATTATTGAAGAGACTAAGAATTAGAATCACCAGCAACAAGATAGATTCTCAATAGAAAACCAAGAAAATGTGAACAGGGAGAATCTGAACAAGAAGACATAGAATTCTCTTTGTAAAAGGTCAAATATGAAGAAAAAGACTAATTAAAGATTAAGATAAGTCTAAAACTTGAATAAGCCAAAAGGTTTAGAATCTAATAAGTCTATGTTGATATAATGCTAATTGTTTGGAGATCAAACTTAGGAAAAAAGGACATCTCTAAAGCCCCTCTAAAGAGTATCAATTGGAAATACTATGAGTGGTACTAGATTAATGAAATCTACTGATATAAATGTGGAATCTCCTACAAACTAGATCAAGGACTTGAAAAAGCTCAAGAGAAGGATGAAAAACTAATTTAAAGAGGAGGAAGATAATAAGATCACTAAGAAGTAATTTAGTAGAAACAGCTCTGAAAAAACCTCAAATCAAAAGTCAAATGGAGATTTCGATAAATGGACTTTTAAAACCAGCCTAAATGATCATATAAGGTGTTGAATTATATATGACTCATGAAATAATCTAAATTTAATAAATACGCATTACACTTTATAGGCATCACGGGGTTTTGGGGTTTTGGGGTTTTGGGG